CTATTTACTCTGAAATTATTTTTCATGAGTAGTATCATTCTGTTAGTATATAACCCAGATTGTAATACTTTCTTAAAAATAAAAAGGGAACAAATTATGTCGTAGCTGTTTGTCAGACCTCCTTGTTAACACTAATGTTTTCTAGGTACCCCTACGAAAGAATCGATGGCCGAGTCAGAGGCAACCTGCGCCAGGCAGCTATTGACAGATTCTCTAAGCCTGATTCTGATAGGTTTGTTTTCCTCCTGTGTACAAGGGCAGGAGGGTTAGGCATTAATCTTACTGCTGCTGATACCTGCATCATCTTTGATTCAGACTGGAATCCCCAAAATGACCTCCAGGTAAACATGCAAGGAAATCTTGCTGATGCTTTTTTTTTAAAAATCATTCTGCTATGATGGAGACTCTCCAGCCAAACTGATAAATTACAGTTGTGCCATTGCTCAGGCAGTGCCCCACGATTCGAAGCAAATGAACCAACTGGTGATCCATTTATTAATAATGTAAAATGTAATTTCTTAGTATGTTAACAGTCTCCTGAACTGTACCTCTATTTATTGGAACATATGCTCTTGTAACTGGCAGTTGAATCTTTTCTTTCTTTGATGGCCATTAATTTCATTTTCCTTCCAGGCTCAGGCTAGATGTCATCGAATAGGACAGAGCAAATCTGTGAAAATCTACAGGCTGATTACCAGAAATTCTTATGAAAGAGAAATGTTCGACAAGGCTAGTTTGAAGCTTGGCCTGGATAAAGCTGTGCTGCAGTCTATGAGCGGAAGAGAAAACGCTACCAACGGGGTAAAACAAACCCCCCCAAACCATTCATTGTTCTGACTCCTTACTTTATTTAGCTCATGTTAAGAAATTATTCAGCATCCCATTATCTTTGACCTTGGTACTTTAAGCATATTCTGTCACATTTTTCTTTGTTATAGCTCAGGTGTGCTCTCTGAGATGTGTGAAGCACTTGTTCAGCCTACAAACATTTAAATTCTAAATGATGTAAAATAACTTCCCTAAAACAGGTACAACAGCTTTCCAAGAAAGAAATAGAGGATCTTCTGCGAAAAGGGGCTTATGGTGCACTCATGGATGAGGAGGATGAAGGGTCTAAATTCTGTGAAGAAGATATCGATCAGATTCTCCTACGGCGAACCCACACCATCACCATTGAATCAGAAGGAAAAGGGTCCACGTTCGCTAAGGTGCGAGTCGATCTGAAGGGCCAACTTTTATGTTAGGAGCAGAGTAGAGTTTACATAGAACACCTAGCAAAGCGATCATATGCTGTGTACATAGCATTCGAGTTACGTTGGGAATAATTAATAAGTTAATTATTAACTCCCCGTGGAACCCCCAGCACATGAGCGCACGTTGTGTTTTGGTTTCTCTCCCGTGTACGTGGCCCGGAGTACTTGCCCTCAGCCTCCCATCCTCATGTCTGCTTCCAGCCTCCTGAGGCTGACCCACCCCCTGCACTCTGGGCCCCATCCCCTCTCACTGCCTCCGATTGCTTCTTCTGAGTCCTGCTCCATCATCATCATCCTCGTTTCCCCCCAAGATCCTGATTCCTGAAACAGCCTATAAGAGCAATCAAGTCGCTTCAGCCTTTAAAAGCCCTCTCATCTGTTTTTCCCTCTAGCTACAACCCCATAACTCTTCTTTTCACAGCTAAAGTCCACACATGTCTAATCAACACCAGCTGTCTCCACTGCCTCCCTTTCTGCTTATTTTTCAACTTCGGGCCCCTCCCCCACCTCTCCATCAGAACTACTCTGGTGAGGGTCCTCACTGACCCCCATGATCCACCTGATAGCCTGTCGGGGGCTTTACCTGCAGGTCGCTGCACACCCACACTGGGGGCCACTCTGCTCCTTTTGTAAAAACAACTGGATTGGAATGTAATTTACATACCATAAAATTCACCTGTTTTAAGTGTAGACTTCTGTGGTTCTTAGCATGTTGTTCAGAGTTCTGCAGCTATCACTACAGTCTAAGTTTAGGGTATTTCCACGCCCCAGAAAGATCCCTCATGTCCATTAGCAGTCTCCACCCAATCTCCTGCCTCGTCCCGCAGCCCTGTTGTTGTTGTTGGGTGCTGTCGAGTCGGTTCCAACTCATAGTGATCCCATGTGACAGAGTAGAACTGCCCCATAGGGTTTCCTAGGCTGTAATCTGTCCAGGAGCAGATTGCCAGGTCTTTTCTTTTGCAGAATGGCTAGTCGGTTGGGACAGCTGACATTTTGGTTAGCGGGTGTGCTACCAGGGCACCTTCCCCAAGCCCTAGGTAAACCCCTGTCTGCTTTCTGTAGAGATTTGCCTGTTTTGGACATTTCATATCAATGAAATCATATCATCTGTGATCTTTTGTTTGACTTTGTTCACTTAGCGTAATGTTTTTGAGGTCCATCCATGTTGTAGCATGTATCAGTAGTTGCTTCCTTTTTATGGCTGAATAATATTCCATTGTATGTGTATATCACATTTACCAGTTGGTAATGGACATTTGTGTTGTTTCCACTTTTTGATGATTAAGAATAGTGCTGCCATGAACATTTGTGTATGAGTTTTTGTGTGGACATATATTCCTGTTTAACCTTTTGAGAAACGTCCAGACTGTTTCCAATGGCTGCATCATTTTCCATTCCCAGCAGCGATGAATGAGGATTTTGATTTCTCCGTATCCTCGCCTACACTGTCTTATTGATCATAGCCATCCTAGTGGGTGTGAAGCGGTATTCCATTCTGGTTTTGATTTGCATTTCACTGTTAACTAATAATAGTTAGCATCTTTTCATGGGCTTGTTGATCATTTGTTTATCATCTTTGGAGAAATGTCTGTTTAAATCCTTTGCTCATTTTTTGAGTTTTTTTCTTAAATTGAGTTTCAAGTGTTCTTTATATATTCTGGATATGAAGTCCCTTACCAGATGATGTAATTTCCAGTTATTTTCTCCTAGTCTTTTATTGATGGTGTTTAGTTTCGATGAAGCTCAGTTTATCTGTTTTTTCTCTTACCACCTATGCTTTTAGTGTCTTATCTGAGAAACCATGGCCTTAACACAAGGTCATAAAGATTTACTCCTTTGTTTTCTTCTAAGAGTGTTATAGTTTTTGCTCTAACATTTAGGTCTATGATCCATTTCAAATTAATTTTTGTGTATGGTGTGAGGTAGGGTTCCACCTTCCTTCTTTTGCATGTGGAGATGGCAGTTGTCCCAGCCACTCCACTTTTGGCAGGCCCTCCTTTTCAGGGCTCTGTGACCTAACATCTGCTCCCTCACTTCTTCCCAATCTCTCTTCAGTCTTTCCCCAGTCCTCTCAGGCACTGCGGATTCAGTATGTGCAAAAGCAAACTCATCATCTCTGCCGCCTGCACCCCTCGCACACCTGTTTGTTCACCCAAGTAACACTGTTCTGGTGCCAAAGTTGGATGCTGAGGCTTTCCCTGGATCCCTCCTTCTCTTTCATGGTTCACATCCACCCAGATTCTAACTCCCATTGATTTTACCTTTTAAAAAATATCTTTCTAGACTATCTCCTTTTCCCTGTTTCTGCTATCTCTGTTTTTGGTCTTTGTCATTTCTTAGCTAAACTACCAGAGTGGCCTGTTCTCCTCTGTTCTACCTTCCACGCTCCCAGATTGACACTCTAGTATGAGCCTTCTAACATATGAGTCTGGATGTGATCATGTCCATCTTGAGACTATTCCTTCAAATAGGTCACTGCTACTTCTAGGCAGAGTTCAGACTTTGCTAATGGGATGTGCGAGGCCCTTCTTTTGATCTGGCTTTTGCCTGACTGATCAGCTTGAGTTGTGGCCATTCTCCCAAGTGTCCTTAGTTCTGCCCACGTGAAACATCAGCCTTTCTTCTCTTCTGTGCCTTTGCACATGGTCTTCCCTCTGCTGTGAACACTTCCATATGCTTTCCTGTTCTGTGAGCTTTTTAAAATTGGTCCAGGAATTATCTTCCAGAGCCTTCTGTACTCTCTTTCCAGTAACGCATTCCCCGCACCACCCCACCTGTCTAAACCAGGTTAGGGGCCCCTCTGTGTATTGGTTGTATTTGTGTGTGCCTTTGTTCCCTGTCATTGGTCACACGGCATTGTAATCCTTTATTTCCTAGTCTCTCTCAGCCCCTGGACAGTGAGCTACCTCCCATCTGCCAGAGTGGTGGGCACACCATGGAAGAACTCACCGGTGTTTGAGTGGATGAGCAGTGAAAGCTGCTTTGCACCTTGCCCCTGAGAACAGCACCTCTAAGTAATGCATATTTGTTTCCCTTTAGGCCAGCTTTGTTGCATCTGGAAATAGGACAGATATTTCCTTGGATGATCCAAATTTCTGGCAAAAGTGGGCAAAGAAGGCTGAATTGGATATCGATGCCTTAAATGGGAGGGTGAGTGAGAGGCCCCATTCAAACTCCTGTCTGATCTCACCCAGGGGTTGCTTTTTCAGACGTTTCAAATTTATCTGCTCTCTTTTCAGAACAACCTAGTCATTGACACTCCAAGAGTGAGAAAGCAAACTAGGCTGTACAGTGCAGTGAAAGAAGATGAGCTGATGGAATTTTCAGACTTGGAAAGCGATTCTGAAGAAAAGCCTTGTACCAAGCCCCGGCGCCTGCAGGATAAGTCACAGGGTTACGCAAGGAGCGAGTGTTTCAGAGTGGAGAAGAATCTGCTTGTTTATGGGTGAGTTGGATTTACTATGTAAGAAGTAATTTTACTTTTAAAATTGTTAGAATTCCCTGTTGGTACAGAAAAACCGTATGTGGATTTGTGTGACTCCCTGTAGTACAGTCAAATGAGTGCTTTTTTGGTAATTTTGATGGGGTGTAGAGGTCATTTTGGTAAAGTTGCTCTGAGTCGTTTAGATCCTCGTGGATTTGAAGAGGGCACCCGAGGTCAGGGGTATTGGTATGTAGCTTAAGGAATTCTGTCTGGTTCAGATTTATTCATTGGTTATTTATAACTCTGAAGTCTCAAAATCACAAAATCTTTTCCTGCTTTATCTTTATATAAAATATAAGACTATAATAATCTTCTAATATTTTTCCATTCTAAAAATTTGTTAAAGGCAGTCATCTCACTTGTAAAGCCCTTCCCCCGACTCACCTGAAGCACAAATGAAGGGTCACTGGCACGTTGTGAGTGGGGTGTGTTTGTCCTGCAGCCTGCTTGTTCCCGAGAGGTGGGAGCCGTCCCTACCTCAGCAGAATCTGCACAGCACCCCACACAGCACTTTGAATGGCAAGGTGCTCGATAAATACTGAATCAGTAACTGAGAGTTCCGCAGTGGATTGTGGAACTTGAAGCAAATGCCATTAAAATTTAAAAAAAAAAAAAACACCACCACCCAAGCAGTCTTTCTGCAGATGTAGTCGTGCTGTGTCTTTGATGATTTCTTCCAGTGGCTCACCACTAGTTTCAGAATAAATACAAACTTTCCGCTAGTGTGTCATCCAGGGCTCCCTTATGTGGCCCTTCCCCATGGGTAGCCGAGCTTCTGTTGGGACAGATGCCTGCATCACCTTCGATGTGCCAGATTCTCTGTCACCCCTGACTTGTCACAAGCCCTTCCTCCTGTCCCCGTGATACACACACACAGAGACTTCATTGGCCTGATGTCCAGTGTCCTTTAAGCTCAGGCCTCACCCTGCACCCACGAGTCCACTGCACTCACCATGCTGTTTGTGATTTCTGAGTCACAGGCCTCTCCTGTAGATGGTCAGTTAGCGGCTTGTTGGGGACAGGCCCTGCTCTCTGCGTCCTCAGTGAAGACTGCAGTGCTGCAGATTCATGGTGAGGGCTGTGCAAATGATCATTTATGGGACAAACGAAGTTTACCATAGGCCCATCATGTATCCCAGTGGCCGGGGCAGCTCTAGTGAGTACCTGTGCCAGCTGAGTGGACACTCCTTCTCTCTGTTCTCACCAGGGGGGCAGGGCTCTCCCCATCTGGGCCCTTTACTACTTGCACCCGCTTCCAGATTTCAACTTAGTGATCAAAGTTGGGAATTGTATTGTTATCTTTAGAAACGGAACATATCAGTGACCCTGAAGCTAAGATGTATGCTTAGGGCATCTTGTCTTGCCTTTCAGTAGAGTCTCTCCCTCCGCCCCTGCCACCCGCTGTGATATTCGTCACTATTTATTGCATACCCACCATGTGCTGGGCGCTGTGCTAAGATACTCTCTCTCAGACACCGGGGATGCCACTGTGAGCCAGACAGTTACATGTGTTCTCAGCCTCAGGCAGGCGGGTGAACCATTAGAAATGGCATTAAAGTGTGATAGGAACCATGACAGGGAATGGTGCCTAGATTTGTGCCTCATCCTTTAAGACACAGCTCAGGTATGTTCTTCCCACTTCTGAGACTAGGAGGTAAAAGCAGGGACTCTGGAGGAGGTGTGTACGTAGTCTGTGTCATGATGGGTGTCGTGAACTAGCCAGGCAGAGAGAAGAGGTTCCTGGCTGAGAGAGCAGTAAACTCAGAGGCCTAGAGGTGAGGGCAAGCCTTGTGATTTGAGGAACCGAAAGGAGCACTGAAGCCAGAGAGGACAAGGGTGTGGCAAGACACCAGCCAAGGTGAAAGGCAGGGGCTGAGCATGAGTGCCCTGGACTTCTCCCCCACAGGCTGAGGACTCCGTGGTGCCCAGCCTGTCAGTCCTCACAGGCTCTACCATGAACACCCTGTGGCTCAGTCAGGTGTGACGTGGGAAAAAGACACAGCTCAGAGTATGTTCTTCCTCCATCCCCCCCCACCCCCCACCCTGCCCCAAGTCTCTTTCTTGTATGAACTCATTACAAGAGGAAGCCATGCCACAGTGTGTAAGCCTGTGAGGATAACACTAGACAGACTGTTCGGGTTCAGCAGTGCGTTCTCTCCACCCATTTCACACAGGGAACTGAGAACCGGCTGAGCACTTTTCCTATGAGTGCCAATGTGGTTTGAGTTATCATTCCTAATTTCAAAAGGAAACTCATGGCTTCCCATTGTCGTTCATTAATTATTGTGGCAGCCCTTTGAGGGAGATGGATGCATCCACAATCCTCACCATTGCATCATTGATTCTGGAGTAGCCACACCTTCCTTGAGTCACCTTTCATCTAAGATGGCTGATCAGCACTGAAACACACAAGCCATGGTAGAACAGAGCACAGTATTGCATCTCCAGCCCCTGGGAGTGCTTTCTGGTCCTGAAAGTTGCTGCCTGTGTCTTGCTTGGAAAGCCTGTGTTAAACACGTGTGCTATATTATTTCAGTGTTAGTTTAACTACTGCAGTTATGAGCAGGGACTTACGGCCCACTCTGTAGGATGCCTGCACCTGACGCTTGCACCCTGGGTTGCTTTCCTATCAGCTGGTATAAAGTATTGCCGAGTTTTGACTCAGGATTTCCCAGCACCAGCACCTGACTGTTGAAGTAAAGCCCTGAGTCTGAACTCAAAGGCGCAGTCTACATGCTGAATGTTTGCATTCCAGGTGGGGACGGTGGACAGACATCCTTTCACACGGGCGCTACAAACGCCAACTCACCGAACAAGATGTGGAAACCATATGCAGAACCATCCTCGTATACTGCCTCAATCACTACCGAGGGGACGAGAATATCAAAAGCTTCATCTGGGATCTGATCACACCAACGGCTGATGGCCAGACTCGAGCTTTGGTCAATCATTCCGGTAAGAGCTTCATCCTCTGAGTTAACAGGATCACTGAGAGCCACCTGATACCTTGGTGACGTGCTGGTGGTGAAAAGACAAGTCCCTAAGTGGTGCAAACAGTTAATGCTTAGCTACTAACCAAAAGGTTAGAGGTTCTGGTCCACCCAGAGGTGCCTCGGAAGAAAGACCTGGCTGTCTGTTTCAGAAAATCAGCCATTGAAAACTAAAGGAGCAGGTCTGTTCTGACAGTCAGGGGGTGGTCAGCTGCTTTGGGTTTTGTTGTTAAACCCTGTACTTCCTTGTCTCTTACATTAAAATATGTGACTCTGGCAGTGTGATTTGATTGTAAGAAGCTTTTCTTATCGTGATCATTACAGGGTTGTCAGCACCGGTGCCACGAGGAAGGAAGGGCAAGAAGGTGAAAGCGCAGAGCGCGCAGCCGGTGGTGCAGCACGCGGACTGGCTGGCCGGCTGCAACCCAGATGCGCTCTTCCAGGAGGACAGCTACAAGAAGCACCTGAAGCACCACTGCAACAAGTGCGTGGAGCACCCCTCGGCCAGAGCTCGTTTCCCTCCTTGCTTTTTAAAAAACCTGTGCTGTTAGGCCTGTTAGAAGCTGTAGCTGCTGTCTTTGCACAACCTTTCTCTTTGTCTTAAAACATGCCGCCCAGTCAGGTGAAGGTGCCCCTTTAGATGATGGACTTCCAGCCCGTTTTTTGTTAGTTACAGTTTGCTTTCCGTGAGCCCACTGTCACTGACGGAGTGCGGTGGAGGGAGGGGAGAGTATACGTGCTGGTTTTAGCTTCAGAATATCTCAGTTGCTGGGTCCTTTCCTCCCCTCTGTGAGCTTAGAATCATATTCCTTACCTTTATTTCTAGAAACCGATCATAGGTATTTGAAGAACATTGAATCTAAATTTATTTCATTGCTTGGAGCTCTGTTAACATCCCACTGGCGTCTGCACGTGCTCTCCTCCTTTGCTCTGGTGAGCTGGTCAGCTCCACCGCTTCCCCGCTCTGTGCCATCTTGGGCAAGGTTCTCAACTCCTTTGAGACACAGCATCCTTGTCAGTCAAATGGAGTTCTGCAGCATGGTCTTGACTGGATGAGGCAGGATATAAATAGATATAAATTTAAATGTGTATCACACATTTAAAAGTAACAGCAACGGAAGTCTGAGCACATCACGTTGGCAGCTCTTCATATGGATAATGTGTCTAAATTGTCTGAGGAGAGTAGTACCATCTCATCCCCGGTTAACTGATAAGGAAACTGAGGCTCAGGTTGAGTAACTTACTTACGATCCCTTGGCTCTGAGCGGATCTGAGACCCAGGCCTTGACCAGTAGAGTGTCCTAGCACTAAACACTGGGCTCCCCACACACCTCAGAGCCTCCTGTGTCTAGGGGCTGCTGTGAGGTGACATCTGGGAAACACCTGGTACTTCCTGGGTTGCACTGACTATAGTTCTCATCACTTTTTTAGCAGCCATGGTGCTTTTAGGGCCTGCCTTTGATTGGTATACTTGGATTTTTACTGACGAATTTTTTATTTTTGAGTCTTCTAAACTCTTTTTGCACCTCAGAAACTTGTTGTTTATTACTGCTGTAGCATCATAGTTCTCTCTAAAATATTATTCCACATACAGCTGTTAGAAAATGTCTGCTTCCTTGTGGTTGATGTAAATTTTGGGACAAGTCTTTTGAGTTCTGGATTTGGGCAGGCTGGGGATGAAGTCATCTGGAGCAGCCCCATTTCTCTTGGTTCGTTGTGGAACAGTGACCCTCTTCTAGGGTCTCGGTGTGAGGCGGTGGCTTACATTTCCCATCTGATGGCAGTGACTGATTCCATAGGGTGCCTCCCTAACTAGCATGCGAGCGCTCACTAGAGTTGCTCACATCTTTCCACTCAGTCTCAGAAGAGTCCTGTTAATGCATCCATCTCACCACTGTGAGGAGGCGAGTACTCCGATTCTGCTTTCCTAACAGATCCTGCCTTGACTTGACAGGATCCAACATGAGAAAACGTTTATGACTATTAAGACAGAAAATGAGACTTAAGTTGAGGGACATACGAGAAAGTAGCTGGCCAGTATCCTCACAAGTTCAAGGTTGTAAGAGACAGAGACAAGGATCTGTCTCAGGTTCAAGGAGACAGGACAATTCAGGCAGTGCACAACTGTGAACTGGGTCCTGGAAGGAAAGCGGTCACTAGTGGGACCATTGGTGAAATTGAGTAAGGCTGAGGGATCATGAATGGTCATCTCTGTCTAACGTGTAGGATGTGAACTCCTTCATCCTAGTGGCTGTCTGTGCCCGCTCACCTTTGCATCTCTAGTGATGGGGTCACCCAGGGTAGCCCACAGCAGGCTCTGAGCTTCCCAGTTGCATTGGTTTGAATTTTTTTCTAAAAGAAAGGTGAGGTTCATAGTTACTCCATAAAAGTCTCCACATGACAAAAATACTACCCAAAGAACTTTGTCTTCTGCCAAAAGGGAGAGAAACCACTAGGATCATTGCCATTGTATCAAGTTTTAGTGTGAATGAGAAGGAATCCAGCTCAAGGTTGAAGGTGGTTTCCTTTGGAACTGCCCTTTCTGAGCAGCCTCAGCAAGTAGACCCCAGCCTTAAACGCTCTTCTCTGGCCAGAGAAGAAGCAAGGGTGCCAGATGTGGGGCCCACACTTTTACTCTTTTCTGCATATTGGTCAAGTAAGGCACAGTCAATTTTATCTTAAGAGTTAACGAAAGAGTTCTAAAATTTAGAAAAGGTGAGTTATCCAAAGTGATTACTTACCTTGGAGTGTATTCAGATATTTACAAAAACCCATTTCCTCCTCCCATGTGGCCCATCTTGAACCCGTGTTGGCAGGAGTGGACTCTCTCAGTGGGAGGAAGGTGTGCTGCAGTGACCTACTTATGCATAATCAGGAGTGGTCTGTTTGGTGAAGCTGCCTTTAGTTGTCATTTTGATGTCTTGAAGGACATTTGCCACGTCACAGAGAGACATGTAATGTGGAATCAGAAGACCTAGATCTCAGTGTTCCGTGCTCAAAGTAACTCTGGGTTCTTGGATATGCAGCTTCTCTCCTATTAGTCTCAGTTTTCACATTTATAAAATGGAAATTGTAACTTGCTCCAGTTCTTCAGAGGGTTACCGTGAAGATCAAATGAGCTCATATATGTAAAAGTGAGGCATAGGTTTTTAAGTGTTATATAAGTAAATGATGGAATTATTCAGCTAGGGAAATCACAGTTGATACTGTAATTCACTCACGAGCAAGGAGGTCATCTTCAACTCTCAGTCCTGACTATACACTAAGTCTGTACAGCAGGGGACGCTAGACTTGGAGTAGACATGGGCCTTTGAGAGTTACCAGGTGGGTTTTACTGAAAGAATTATGTTTGGGCCATTGAGAAAATCCAAGTGGGATTGAAAATCTGGTTCCTAGAATTCCAAGGGTTTTTTTAAAAAAATGATTCCTTGAAAAATGATTAAGAACTTCAATAAATTGGCACATTTTAGTCTCCTGTATAATGTTCTGTTTTATGGTTCTTTAAGTCACAACTTAGGTTCACAGGTAATATAAATGAGAAGGGATAAAAATGCTTAATACTCCTTAAGGAGGGAGAAGAGTGAGAACCCACCCCTACTCCAGCCCCAGTCCCATCTTCCTTTCTCGGAAGCAAAGTTGTATAATCTGAAAAACCTGACATTCCATATTGAGGGTTTATTGTAAGGTAGTAAAACCAGATTTTATATCTCGTTTATTCCTACAACTTCTGATGTGCTTCCAAAAATGGTATTAAGGCAGCAGCTGAGGAAATTTTATGAGATAATGAAGCAGAACAGTTACTGAAAGCCATCTGCTCGGTTGTTTACAAACTTGCTTCAATACTTCAGAGGCAATGGTAGGGTACGTGTCTAAACTCCGCAAGCTGTACTAGGTAGAACTAAATGAAGTGCGCCCGGGCTGGGCCAAGCCCGGTCCCTCTCTGTGCACTGTAGCCGTTGCCAGGCAGGCCTGTTGGAAGCCAGCAGAAAGCACCACACAGAGGTGATTATGTGCCACCATCTGTCACGCTTCAAGCCTACCATACAGCATGGCTAATCAGCCTTGGCAGGATGATGGATGAACAGCAGCAGCTGCCAAAAGCCACTGTTGGCAAACAGTCCTGAAGTTAAGAACTTTTTCCCCCCTCTGTCTTCCTCTCCAGGGTCCTGCTGCGTGTCCGCATGCTGTACTACCTAAGACAAGAAGTTATAGGAGACCAGGCCGATAAGATCTTAGAGGGTGCTGACTCAAGGTTAGTGCGAGTGCACACTTGTTCTCAAGTTCGTGTGATGATTGTGTTTTGAGTCTAAGAACCTTCACAGGCCCGTGAGGAGTTCTGCTTTTGGCATCTCGAATGCAGAGTGAGCTTGGGGATGAGATGAGAGTCTGGAAAAGACTGTATGTATAAAAACCTGTGAGGGAAATCACTGATGCTTTGAGATGACCTTTTAGTTGTGGTGCTGTGTGAGAAAGTTCACTCCTGGTGATGGTAGAGAGCAACTGAATTCTGCCCTTTCTTTTAACCTTTTCTCGTCTCCCTGCAACGCTCAGATCTTTATTGTGAGCGAGAGGGTATGGAGTGTGTATCATATTCATTACTTGAAATTCTTTGTTAAGGCTAGCATCTATTTTAAATATTACCTGAACGATTGTCTTTATAGTGAGGCAGACGTGTGGATCCCTGAGCCTTTCCATGCTGAAGTTCCTACAGATTGGTGGGACAAGGAAGCAGATAAATCCCTCTTAATTGGAGTGTTCAAACATGGTAAGTGATGTTTCTATTTGAATCCATCTTGACTGTACGGCTTTGTCTTTATTTAGAACTCTTTGCACACTCTTTCCCAAAGTCATAATATTAATGAGGCTAGTTCCAGAGGACTCTTGGCGTCGACCATTTTTCTGTACTAAAAAATCTAATACGAACTGTAAATATCAGATGCTGTTTTTGAATGTTTGTTGAGCATTTGAGAAGAAAACATTTCTTTCTTGGCTGTAAATAAAACCAAAACCATATTTGTTTCAGTAATGGCCAGGTTGTACTATAGATCTCCCTAAACTTTGCTTCCAGCGCTGCTTCACTTGCTGACTCTGCCAACCAGTGTCAAAGTGGACGGTGGGCTTAACCTCTGCTATTAATCTGTACAAGTGCCTCCTGGGCTTTGTTCCAAGCAATATTTCACAAATGTCAGTGCTGAGAACTCGAGGCTCCCCCAAGTGGGATGCAGCCTTGTTAACTTTGAAAGGCTGGGGATGCAGAACTGGCATGATATATACAGTGAGCAATTCCTGATTATAATCCCAATTCTCTGGAGGTCGCCGAGGTATTCTCAGCAGCCCAGGCTGACTAAAGGGGAGAATGATGGCTTATAAAACCTTTCATGATGACAGTTTGGCTGGAGGCTCTACAGCAGTTAGGAACAGTGTGTTGTAGTACACATCCTAATTGAATTGTGCTGTTCTGCTTGTGTACTGCAGCCGCGTTTTGTGAGCTCAGCCTAAAAATCATTTTCCCGCAGTGCACTGTTGGGGTCTGCCATTTTCCATCTAGTCAACTTAGGCAGTCAAAAAGCAAATTGCAGTTTGAAAACCATAGAGGGAACAGTGTCATCTTCCTGACATGCATCGTCCTAAACCTAATCAGACAGGTTCGCTGGCCTGACGTACACAGAGATTTTCAGCCAGCGGTGCAGCGTCCAGCAGGGCCGAAGCGATTCAAAGGAGGTGGGTGGGGGCGGCCGGGGACTACAACCGCAGAAGTCGTAAAGGAACCTTCTGAAGCCTTTCCAATGTCAGGCGAAGTTAGATCTTGGGGAAAATAGGGTCAAAAATCTTCCCAGGCCTCTGGACATATTTTTCTGTTAGTATTTGTTTGATTCTGATAATATCCCTGATGTGTAACTTGGCCCCAGAAAGCTTCCCCAGAATGATCATGCCCCAGAATGCTTTACTAAAACACAGTTTGTTTTGATTCAATATAGAGGATACTCTTGACTGAGAAACAAAACATGTGTGCTGTGGTGGCGCCGTGATTTTGTCAGTGACGAGGGCTTTCTTTGTTTCTGTGTGCTTCCTCTGGGCTGGTGGGGATGGCACAGGCTATGAGAAGTACAACTCCATGCGAGCTGACCCCGCGCTGTGTTTTCTGGAACGAGTCGGTATGCCTGATGCCAAGGCCATCGCTGCCGAGCAAAGAGGAACAGACATGCTAGCAGATGGCGGTGACGGGTAAGGAGGACATTTTAAAATTTTAATAAACTTTATGTCAGTGTCACGTATATTGGCAGGTTCAATCCTTACACTACACGATGCACTGTATTGTATCTGACTTGAACTTAAGCGGTCTTTACTGGTTTATTTTATTTACATGTCATAATGGCTGTTTAAACAAATATATTATCTAGATAATCAGAGACTTGTTTGTCTTCTCTAAATGACAGCCCCCAGCCCTCCCCACCCCTCTCTACAACTGCGTGTTTTAAATATTGATAGAGTCATTTTTGAGGTCAAACCCAGAATAAAAGCAGCATTTGGCAGACTGTTAGTCTTTTCCACTCCCCACCCTTCGTTCTCTTCCTCATCAGTATAATTAAAAAAAAAAAAAATTTTTTTTTTTTTTTTAAATTTTGTACAGGGGAGAATTTGACAGAGAAGATGAAGACCCAGAGTATAAACCAACGAGAACGCCATTCAAGGATGAAATAGATGTGAGAACTTGAGTATATTGGCTTTTACAGCACCGTTAAATATTATGTGCCCGTATAAGACTTGTTAAACTTTGTAGATAATGGTCTTTTCTTTAAATGTTAAAGCAAAAATAAAATCCCAAATTAGAATAATTCTATTTCTTGCTTTGCTTTCAAGGAATTTGCAAATTCTCCTCCAGAGGATAAGGAAGAGTCTGTGGAAATACATGCTGCAGGTAAGGCTCCGTAAAAACCAGGGAGGAGAGCAAGTGTGTGTTGGGCAGGAATTAATGACTTTTGCTTCTTTATGATGGTGGTGTTTTCAAATATTACTTCTTCACACTGGTGCATCTTTTTTTTTTTTT